CTAACCCTATACATTAATTTTTATTATCCTAATTATCTTACCTAATGTAACCCTATACATTAATTTTTATTATCCTCATTATCTTACCTAATATAACCTTATACATTAATTTTTATTATCCTCATTATCTTACCTAATATAACCTTATACATTAATTTTTATTATCCTCATTATCTTACCTAATCTAACCCTATACATTAATTTTTATTATCCTAATTATCTTACCTAATGTAACCCTATACATTAATTTTTATTATCCTCATTATCTTACCTAATATAACCTTATACATTAATTTTTATTATCCTCATTATCTTACCTAATATAACCCTATACATTAATTTTTATTATCCTCATTATCTTACCTAATCTAACCTTATACATTAATTTTTATTATCCTCATTATCTTACCTAATCTAACCCTTATACATTAATTTTCTAACTTTTCTATTTTAGTTATTTTTATAACACTAACTAAAGAATACACGTGAAAAACAAGACATTTCACCAACCAACCCAATTCCTCACTTTAGGTACTGCATGAAATATAACATTTAAAGGAACTTCTACAAAGAATAGATACATAGACAAGTATGTAACTAAGGGTTTCTTCAATCCATTTACTACATTCTTTAAGAATTGTTATTGTTCAGTAGGTTTACGGTTACAGTTTTATCTAGGATAATTGGAAGCATGCATTAGATAAACACTGTCTAATATAATATAAATAGAGTGGTTTATTGTTTTGTTTGCTTGTTTCTTCAAGTTCATTGAGCAAAGCCTAATTAGGCTTTTTTTTTAGATCGGATAGGAAGCTAGATTAGGTTTTTATGAAACAAGTATATTTTGAAACAGTGACATTTAAATATGAGTATACTAACATAGTAAAAAAAAAAGGACTTTGTAAAGACTTAAACACTCAAAGTATTATTTTATTTGTTTGCACACTTTAGATTCTAGCTATGCAGTACATGAAAACACCTTTTTTTATTTAACAAATTCATGAAAATCAAAACTCTGACCTTATCTACAACTTCATTCTCTTCATCAGATGCAGCATGCTTTAGAGCTGGAAATAATTTTTCCAAGTGGCTCGTCACAGTCTCTTCAGAATGGAGCAACAACACATAAAGGAGATTTGCAGACTTAATTCGAGTAGCCGCCACCCAATCATCAAGGTCACGAAGAAGGGCTGGAAGAATGTAGTACAAATGCCGCTTCACCAAAAAACGGCAGCCAAAAGTGGGCCGTACAGCTATGAATGTTGAAAATTAAAATTGAATTAGTTTTAAAATAGTGATATCTTTACTGAAGTGAAAAGACATATCTTTATTCCAGTAAGTTAGTTAGTTAGATTTAAAATAGTGATATATTTAATCCTGTAAGTTAGTTAGATTTAAGATAGTGATATCTTTAATCCAGTAAGTTAGTTAGATTTAAAATAGTGATATATTTAATCCTGTAAGTTAGTTAGATTTAGAATAGTTATATCTTTAATCCAGTAAGTTAGTTAGATTTAAAATAGTGATATCTTTAATCCAGTAAGTTAGTTAGATTTAAGATAGTGATATCTTTAATCCAGTAAGTTAGTTAGTTAGATTTAAAATAGTGATATCTTTAATCCAGTAAGTTAGTTAGATTTAAGATAGTGATATCTTTAATCCACTTAGTTAGTTAGATTTAAAATAGTTATATCTTTAATCCAGTAAGTTAGTTAGATTTAAAATAGTGATATCTTTAATCCAGTAAGTTAGATTTAAAAGCACATCAATTATTTAGTACTGTGCACTTTAACTGAGAAGGTTTTATATAAATGTTTTACCAAGTTATCCATTTTCATGCAGAAATAAAGAAATATTAACTTATTGTTTAGTGAACATTTTAACTGAGTGTTTAAATTATTTAACATTTCCTATGCTTACATACAGAAACCAAGAACTGTTAATCTATTCATTAGTACACTGCATGTTTTAATGTAACAATCACATAACACAGTGGTTCTCAAACTCACAAACCACTTCAGCAAAGAACCCTCAGACCATAATGTTGCGTGTGAGTGACGTATTTTGGACAAGCCCACAGACAACCTGGAGGACCTTCACAGACCACACTTTGAAAACCACTGACATAAAGCATGTCTAAAATCCGGTACATTAAAATACTAATACCAATACATCTATAACAGAGATCACATTCTATAAATTACATATGTTAATTTAAAAAAGATGAAACCTCAGACAAAGCTTGTTTGACCAAATAATTAATAAAAGTTTCTTTTGAAATTTATTTTATTTCCAACATATGCCCTAAATATATATGGCTTTCAAAACAACAAAGTAATGAACAAAGAATTGCAAAACTAAACTCTTCTGTTGTTTAATTATAAAAACAAATACCTCCAGAGGGGTAGTGATCAGGATCTGACTTTACAAAATCCAGCTGGTCTTTGACATCTTTTTCATTTTCATCCAGATACTTTTGTCCTGCACATTTCCATTGTTTTTCTGTATTTTCTCTGAAATTCACAGTTTATGTATTTATATATAGTAAAATAAAAAGCCAACAGTAGTTGAATATGTGACAAAAATGTAAATATTTCAACAACTGAAGAAAAAACAAAACTAAAACAAATAGTTTTTTGTCAATAAATAATTTTATACAAAGACTATTACCGAGTTATACAAAGGTCTTCATTAAGGTCAGCTCAACAGTCTAAACACGCCTTTATGGTTGGAATCCATAATAATGCCTTGAACTTTAATAATAAATGTTAAATACCTGATATCTGGTAGCTCATCAATTAGACCAGTCATGACTAAAGGAATAAGCTTCGAAAAGAAGGAATAGCGGTCAGGAAGTTCTGATAACCAACGACCAGCTACAGAAACTACTGCCTGTCGCACAATAGGAGCCTGATCAAACAGACGCTGTGCCAAATGAGAAACCACATCCTTGACAGAGCTGTTGTTTCCATACTGAACAACATCACCTGGAAATATGAAAAAAAAAAGGAGCTTAAAGGTAAAAAGGATTTTACAAAATTCTGTGTTGAATCCATGTTCAATGTTAATGTGACATTCACAGACCCTCGAAAAAGGCATATGTCAAAACGTCAGGTAGAATAAAAAAAACATTTTCTTGAAGTTGTTGGTCATCTTCATTGAAAATGGTCTAAACATTCATAATTATATGTGAATTATCAACAAAAAAATGTCAGTGCCCCTCAATGGTCAGATACTAACCACTAGACTTAATGGGTTTTTGCCACCATTATTTTTAGCTCTGCA